CACCCACAATGCCAGTAGTGAACCACCTGTTGACTGCAACACTGAACCAGAATCACACGGCACCTACAATGCGAGTTGTGAACAAGATTGTTGCAATACAGAACCAGAATCACATGTCAACCACAATGCTAGTAGTGAACCTGTTGACTGCAGCACTGAACCAGAATCACATATTACCCACAATGCCAGTAGTGAACCTGTTGACTACAACACTGAACCAGAATCACATGTCACCAACAATGCCAGTAGTGAACCTGTTGACTACAACACTGAACCAGAATCACATGTCACCCACAATGCCAGTAGTAAACCTGTTGACTGCAACACAGAATCAGAATCACATGTTAACCACCATGCCAGTTGTGAATCTGTTGACTTCAACACTGAACCAGAATCACATGTTACCCACAAGGCCAGTAGTAAACCTGTTGACTGCAACACTGAACCAGAGTCACATGTTACCCACAATGCCAGTAGTGAATCTGTTGACTGCAACACTGAACCAGAATCACATTTCACGCAGATTGACAGAAGTAAACTTGATAGTTGCAACTCAGAACCAGAAGCATGTATATTGCCTGGCAGGTTTGAGCCAGATGGTGGTATCGTGAATCTTGAATCGTATATTGCACATGGTTCGGATGGTGTCTACGTGAGACCAAAATCGTGTATAATACAGAATAGTGTGCTACCTGTCAGAAATGAACCAGATAGTGGCAATTTGAATTCAGGATCATTCATCTTACAGAACAGTATTTTACCTGCCAGAAGTGAACCAGATGGTGGCAACTTGAAACCAGAATCATGTTTGGTACACAATGATGCCAAAGCCAGTTGTGAACCTGTTGACTTCAACACTGAACCAGAATCACATGTTACCCACAATGCCAGTAGTGAACCTGTTGACTGCAACACTGAACCAGAGTCACATGTTACCCACAATGCCAGTAGTGAATCTGTTGACTGCAACACTGAACCAGAATCACATTTCACGCAGATTGACAGAAGTAAACTAGATAGTTGCAACTCAGAACCAGAAGCATGTATATTGCCTGGCAGGTTTGAGCCAGATGGTGGTATCGTGAATCTTGAATCGTATATTGCACATGGTTCGGATGGTGTCTACGTGAGACCAAAATCGTGTATAATACAGAATAGTGTGCTACCTGTCAGAAATGAACCAGATAGTGGCAATTTGAATTCAGGATCATTCATCTTACAGAACAGTATTTTACCTGCCAGAAGTGAACCAGATGGTGGCAACTTGAAACCAGAATCATGTTTGGTACACAATGATGCCAAAGCCAGTTGTGAACCTGTTGACTTCAACACTGAACCAGAATCACATGTTACCCACAATGCCAGTAGTGAACCTGTTGACTGCAACACTGAACCAGAGTCACATGTTACCCACAATGCCAGTAGTGAATCTGTTGACTGCAACACTGAACCAGAATCACATTTCACGCAGATTGACAGAAGTAAACTAGATAGTTGCAACTCAGAACCAGAAGCATGTATATTGCCTGGCAGGTTTGAGCCAGATGGTGGTATCGTGAATCTTGAATCGTATATTGCACATGGTTCGGATGGTGTCTACGTGAGACCAAAATCGTGTATAATACAGAATAGTGTGCTACCTGTCAGAAATGAACCAGATAGTGGCAATTTGAATTCAGGATCATTCATCTTACAGAACAGTATTTTAACTGCCAGAAGTGAACCAGATGGTGGCAACTTGAAACCAGAATCATGTTTGGTACATAATGATGTCAATGGTGGGTCAGATAGAGGCAAGACAAAATCATTAAAAAGAAGAGTCATTTTGCCATTTATAACCTCACCAGAAGAATTTCTCACCCCAGGTTATATTAATTCCTGTAAAAATGTACGTAAATCATCAACCTTGTTTAAAAAATATGATTCAAACATTGTTTTGGAATCAGACTGTGAATCTGACATTTCTGATTCTGAAATTTCTTTTCCATTTCTGCAATCTAAATGGGATAGAAGTAAAAATGTTGTTAAAGTTAGGCCTCTCACACCTGTACAAACTAAGGTTAAAACACATCCTTCATGGAAGTAAAACTGCAGCTACTCATGACAATGAAGATGAAAATGATAGTGAAAACTTTGAAGATGACTATGACGATTCTGATGCTGACCCTACTTATGAACCAAATTCAGATTGTGAGTCAGATGTATCTTCTTCTTGTGAATTAGATATGCATAGTATTAGTGATGTGAAAACTACAGGAAATGACAAGCCATGGATGAAATCTAGCATAAGCCCCAAAGATAACTTAAGGCTTGCCAATCAGCTGCTATCTGTCAAAGTAGTGATAATTGTTCCAATAGTATCATTGTTCCTGATCTGTCGGATTGTGAGTCCGTTGAATTCAATACTGTGTCACCATTGTCATCAAGTTTCATGGGAAAGAAAACAAGAATCATCAAATACTTCTGCAGGTGAAATGAGCAAAGAGTTTGTAAAGTCTTCAGAAAAGAAATCTGCCTAGTACATCATGTACTACAAAGAATCTTAAGAATGACATCCAAATCAGTTCTGTGAATCCTTCCTCGGTGCAGGTTCAAACAACAAATAATTCCAATAGGAAAAGAAAATGGGACAAATTTGCTTACTGTGTTTACTGCATGAACAAATATCCAAAGTTACCAAGGCATTTTGAGAATAAACACAGTACAGAGAAAGATGTTGTATATGCATTAAGTTTCAGAAAGGGAAGTACCGAAAGGAAAATTTTATGGCAGAAACTAACAAATAAAGGCAACCATGCTCATAATGTTGAAATACTTAAAGATGGATATGGCTATATCATACCATACAGAAGACCATCATTTACAGTTCCTGTATCGCAGTATCTCCCTTGTCCTGAATGTTTGGGTTGGTTCATCAAAGCAGAACTGTATAAACACAACAAGATATGTCCTGTCAAACTGTTTGAAAATGCAACACCAAAAATAATTCACCGAAGAATACAACAAGTAGCAGGAATGTTATTACCACATAGTGATAATGTTACAGAGGGTATGGCAGACAGAGTGCTATCTAGAATGACTCAGGATGAAGTGGCAGTAATTGCAAGAAATGATGATCTTATCATAGAATTTGGATCCAGGGAATATATGAAAGTTGGTACAGAATCTGCAAAGATCCAGTACGTGAAGCAGAAAATGAGAGAACTTGCAAAACTTCTAATACAACTTAGAAAGATCAGTAAGAAAAATGCATCCTCCCTAAAAGAATATATTCATCCTTCAAAGTTTGAAATTGTAATCCAGGCAACACAGCAGTTGGCAGACTATAACCTTGACGACAGAGTTCTTGGAAAACCTTCTCTCGCATTAAAGTTGGGTCACTCTCTGAAGAAATGTACTACAATCTGCATGGCTGAGGCAATCAAAAATGAAGACTCTACCAACGAATTAGCAGCTAAGAAATTCCTTAAATTGTGTGAGATACAGTGGGCACAGTCGATAAGTTCACATGCACTTAATACTATGAATGAAAGGAAGAGAAACATGCCAAAATTTCTTCCATTAGTTGAAGATGTTGTGAAGGTAAACATGTATCTGAAAAAGACTGCCACTGATGCTTATAAAGATCTACAAGAAGATACAACCACATCAACCTGGAAGAATTTGAGCGAGATAACGTTAGCCCAATTGATTTTATTCAATAGGAGGAGGAGTGGGGAAATGGAAAGAATGCTTCTAGAAGATTTTAAAGAAGTAAGAGGAGTCAATCAAGAAGCTGGTTCATCTTTGACAAGTTGGGAGCAAAATCTGTGTCGTTTGATTGATAGAGTTGAAATAAAAGGCAAAAGAGGAAGAAATGTGCCTGTTCTATTAACCAAGGATCACTGTAATCAGATAAAATTACTTATCGAAAAAAGAAAAGCTGTTGAAGTCAATGTGGCAAATCCATACATTTTTGCGTGCTTACAAAACTCACTGCGCCCAGTACGTGCAACAGTATGCCTGAGAAAGTTTGTAACAAAATGTGGCATTGAACATGCTGAACGGTTCACCTCTACAAATTTAAGGAAACAAATTGCTACAATGTCACAAATCTTCAATTTGAAGGACAATGAGCAAGACATCCTTGCTGGATTTTTGGGACATGACATAAGAGTCCATCGAGAGTTTTACAGACTTCCACAGAATACATTACAAATTGCAAAGGTCAGCAGAATTCTGATGGCATTTGAGAAAGGAAATATTGGAGAATTCAAGAACAAAGGACTTGATGAAATAGAAATCAACATAGATGGTGAGTAGTGTTTTATCCCATGATAAATTCTGCGTTTCACTGCTATGACACTCCAACTATTGTTTTTACTCAATCATCGTCACCTTCTTTAGTTGTATGTCAAATATGGAACTAGCATATAGGCTGGTCACCTTTCCCTAAATTGAAATGCCTGAATTTGTTGATGGAATTTCAATCAATGATTATGGGGAATTGTTATTAGTATCAAATATACACTAGCCAACGATTATCAGTATTTGCTGACACTGTTAAAGATAACAACAAAAATTGTCCCCTTGTATATGCCAGCAGAAAAACCAGAATGACCGATAGAATGAACAGTCTATTGTGTATTGATATTAGGTTAGTATTTGTTCAGGAAATAGTTTTTATCAATGACACTGAACAATCTTTGCAGTAGTTATGCTGTAATCTCTTTGAGCACTGTCTTAGGACGAGAATTGAAATAAGTCGTATGATATTTGTCATTTGGCTTACTAACTTTTCAAAATTGTGTGAATTATAGATGAATGTGAGAATGAAGACCTACTGAATACTGGTAATATCATTGAAGATGAGGAATTTCAAGAAATGAATAATAATAATAATAATAATAATACAGATATAAATGGAAAACTACAAGACAAATGTATGCATATTGATGATGAAGATGTTTCTAAAGGTTTGTTCATATATTTAGTGTTCAGTTTAATTCACCATTTCCTAAGGCACTTGGTGTTCAGTATTTACATGCACTTAATACTATGAATGAAAGGAAGAGGAACATGCCAAAATTTCTTCCATTAGTTGAAGATGTTGTGAAGGTAAACATGCGTATCTGAAAAAGACTGCCACTGATGCTTATACAGATCTACAAGATACAACCACATCAACCTGATAGAAAAAGTATTTATTGTAATAGGGTTTTTGAATGGTTTATGTTGTTTTACAGGTGATGTAGATACAATGAAAGTAGGGCCCTACTCGATAATGAAGAACAGTATATTGGACCTGGGCCATAAAAAACAGCTGTCAGATGATATTGTGAACTCTGCTATTTATATTGCCACAAGAGAGAAAAAGGTATTTATTTTATGTTGAAAGGTTCTGAACAGGTGGAATGGTGATGGCTGAATTGGGAAGCTGAGTTTAAGATTTAATTGCATACTGAATGATAAAGATTTTGGTAAACTTTTACTTATTGCTGCTCAATGGAAAGAAATCTTGTTTTTCTTGTAGATATTCTGGTACAGGGTATCCCTGACCCTGACAGTGATAATTTGTTCAAAATTGATAGACTTTGTTCACATATCAATGTCACTTTCAATCAAACTTAAATTGGTATGATAACATGTTTGGTTGTATTTTCCCCAATATTGCTTTTGTAATTTGATATTTGACTGGTTACCATTGGTATTTGTGTTATTTAGTCTGTGTTTGTTTATGATGATTGTGGAGTGTGGGTCTCTCTGATTCTCTTTTCTGTCAACATAACAGCATGGCAGATTAATGGAGGGGATGGGAGGGGGGGTCTCTGATTCACAACTTCTTTGTTGACCTGACCTCAATGGGAATGCCTTGGATATATAATGATCATCAATGAGATTAAAAAAAGTGTTTAACATTTGACACTCATTCATTTATAAGTCACTTGAGTAACTATACTATAATCTGTTAATAATTTGTGCTACTATTTAAAGATGTATTCTGATTGACCATTCTCTATGAAAGTTTGTCAGGTCTGTGTTGAGCATTCACAATCGGACAAAATGAATTTTATTTATTTAGATTGAGTTATTCATGCACTGTTCATCACTTTCTGATGCTATCTGACGTGAATATTATGTAAAATACAGTGTATATGTATTGAAATATATTTTTTTCTCATTAGTGCATAATATCCAAAGTGTAGTGCACTTCAACAGTTTTTTAGTACTTATTTCCTCCATTGGTGTCTGCTGTTATGCTTTGTTGCCACAGTTTATTCATTGCTTATCATTAAACATAATCTCCTTTATTTCATTGCTGACAATGTAATTTTATATTGTTTTCAGGCCATTCTTTTTTTTGACCACAATTTAATGACATCTATTTGTTTGAAGGGTGAAATGGCCAAACCAAAAAAGGTAATTATCATTTAATATTTTCCAGACTAGTCAGCTAGTGGAAATTTGTTTCTTCCATTTAGCAACAATTGTTACTAGTCATGTGTATTATTACTAATGCATACAATGTATTTACAGATAAATCTTTCCAAGTATGAGATGGTAATAGGTGCTATGTTTGAAGGTGGAGAAACAACTAATTCTGGCATAATAAATGGACATTGGACACTTGTGGTAAGTTGTAAAATACTGTAAATAATTCAGGCACCATTTTCAATTTTACAGTTGACTCTAAAATTCTTGTATAATTGTTTTCCATTTGCTTTGCATAAATCCATCAGTACTGAACAATTTTATTAGTCCCCGTTCGAATGATCCGTGCGTCCGTCCGGAGTCATATCTCAGAATCCCTTTGGACCGATTATGTTAATTCTTTGCATGTGCCTAGTATCTTATGTGGGACATATGCACATGCAGTGGTTCAGCGATTCGATTCAAAATGACCGACTAGCAGCCATCTTGTTTTTTGAAAATTTTGTATTTTGGACATGCTTTGTCAGTTGTCATTCAAACTTGGTACATAGATTATACATGCTAAGATACATGTCCATGACGATTTATTTTGCAATTGGATCAATTGAATTTTGCATCTTTTTTTTTTTTTTATGTGGTATCTTGGATGTGCTCTGTCAGTTTTCATTCAAATTTGGCACATACCGTTAAAGTCCTAATATAAACCGCATACGTAATAGTAACCGCACCCCCAATTCCGGCTTCGGGGTTAAAGAGTTCTTAACAAAAATTGAAAACTTGAAAAGTACCTATTACTAACCGCACCCCCAATTCAACAAGACCGTGACTGTCTTCATTGTTTCAACCAGCTGTTCCAAAACGGCATTGTTCCTAATCCTATTCTTTGTTTCGACAACATGCCTAAAAATATTCACACCTATTTATTGTTCAGCGGTGATAAGATGTCAGACAGGCAATGAAACTGCTTTTGTTCTGGCGGCGACCTCTGTCAATACTCTTTCTGAATACGTCTGTGTGTTTCGTAAGTTTTAGACAATGAGCTTTTATCACCGTAAAAGTGTTAAACTGAGCATTGAAGAATAATTTATCTTTCGAAAACAAATAATTTCTTGATTTAAAAAAAAAATCATGCCGTTTTCCCATGGAAATCAAAGGCAAAAGATCGCACTACATTATCGGTAAATCTCTTCCGTGTTGCGTTCACCATGAGGTCGCTGAACTGTCATTAACATATTTAAATGAGCTATGTAATTTAGACACGTGGGCACCATCCAGCATTTTGATTGGTTAATTAGCGACTTGACCTATCTGGGTCAATAATACGTCACGTGAGCATTCAAAAGCATGGCGGATATCGTATCGGCTGTTTACATGTGACTGAAATCATTCGCTTACGGGGAAACTAAGTTGAATTTTACTTGCATTTTATAACAATTCAACGAATTTATTTTTCGTGCGTTATTGTAATCACTACTAAATAATAATCACCAATATCAACACTTCGAAAACAAGTAAGTTATTCACTTGAGACCAGCAGCATGGCCCGATCGAGCTACCGTTATGTGATCATTTGCTACTAAGCAGTGCATTCGTGTTTTTATTTGAAACTTCTGTTAGAATATACTTTTCGTTACCAAGAAAATTAAAAAAAATAAATGCATATTACATTAAAAATACTGAGTATTTTTTGTATCATGTAGAATATTTTTTTGATTGTAATTTTTCAACATTTCGTAACGCCTATTTTAGAACCAAAATAAGGCCTTCCACTCTTCCCCGACGCCTATTCAAGAGATTGTACGGTGTATTGTTTGTTTTGTGCATGTGTTGTGGACAAAAAATGACCACGCCCATTTAGTGATTGCAATATGTATGTAATAGAAACCGCACCCCGAACTTGAGCTTTTGATCCCAATTTTTAAATTGATACATTGTAATATAAACCGCGGTTTATAATAGGACTTTAACGGTACATTTACTTTATACATGTTAGGATGCATGTCCATGACAAATTGTGACAGCCATTTGACTTTTTGGCCTTACTACTATATTTCCACAATTTATGTACCATTTTCATTCGTATTGGCACATACATCGTACATATCAAGTGTGTTTCATAATCAGATCAAAGATGGCAGAATAACGGCTGTTTTTATTTTTGGCCATATTACTACTACACGGAACATGTGTTTTGATGTAAATAAACAATCTGTTGTATACACCACTTGGAACTCAAGTTTCAAGGACACGCTCGCGACAACCCCTCCGCTTTAATATGACGAGCACAAAGAAAACTTTCAAATATTTAACGGGGACTGTGTCATTTTCAATGACTAGTTTATTTCTGTCCAATATGAGAATTGATTTTTGTAATGCTTTACAGGTGGTTAAGCAAAAAAGTCATGAAATAATATATCTGAATTCTACTGGTGAAAGTAAAGAGACAATGGTGACAATTCAGCAGAATTGGAAGTAAGTAGGAAGAGTTCAATTATAATTGATTTTTTTCTGTTTTTGCATAATTTTGTAGATTTTTAATTTAACTCAAAGTTCTGGGATATACTGTAGTATGAGAAATAGGTAGTTATTGTTTGAACATAACTATGTCCCCAAGAGTGTTTGGTTGCTATAACAAAATATGACATACATGTAGTTGTGGAGCAAATTACCAAGAATTGGATAAGGTTGGATCCATATGCACTCCTACTTCAAGTATTATTCTTGATACAAGTGTTTGCTATAAATTATCAGTAGGATCCTGTGCCACCTACATGCCATAGTTTACTTACCGTAACACAAAAAATGCACCTAACTCTTGCACAAGATTTTTCAATTTCAACAACTAAAATATCTGTTATCTTTTAGTAATTATGCAAGTAAGAAGGGTGAAGTCAGTACTTATACTATATTGAAAGTGGATCATACAATGCAAGATGATGCTGTATCATGTGGTGTGTTAGTCATCAAGGTAATTATGGACTTTCAGCTGCATTTAAAATTAAAATAGTGATATATTAAATGTCAGTGAAAATAAATGGTTTTACAGTACTTTCTCAATGTATGTATCATATATCAGGCCGTTGTATCGACAGCAATGTTTATTTTATTGCTGATAATGTCATAATACTTTTCAGTTTGCAGAGCAGTTTGCTAATGGACAGTCTACAAAATTAATAGATATGACATGGACAACATAGTGCAATTTAGAGAAGATATATCACGTT